TAAAAATAAGCTAACATAAAATAAAAAATCATTCAATATTACACCAGAGGTTAGTATGACGGGCTGTATAAGCCAAGTATTGCATATCAAGCTTTTCCATCAACCTTTTGCTTATTTCCATTTCAGTTACAGTAAGTTGCCTAAAGGAAGCCTGCAACTTTGTTTCAGAATATATGGCTTGTAAGAACAATATAACTGCAATAATGGAGGCCCAAAAAATAGATTTTAACTTTAGCCACTCTACAAGACTTTAAGATTGTATAATTATGTGGGAACCTATCATTTGAGTGTATATTGTATGGTAGTGGTGCATATAGTATTACCAGTTCAGATCCACAGAGGGCCTGGTGGATAATTCAGCCTTGTGTATACAGATGCACTGATCTAACCTTTCCTCTCCATATATCAATACCAATACCTCAACTCAGGGTTCCTGCAGATACAGAGAGAGTCAATCCTACACCAGTGTTCATTTCAATTCTTTTTCAAACGTAAAATCTGTATATCTCATGTGCATGGAAGCCATTGGGATCATTTTTATGTAATATGTAGCCACAGGAGTGAAGTGCTGCCTTAACTGAATGGACTCTAGGTCTTTAGCAGATAATGATAAGATACATAAGAAACTTCCGAATACCCTGTTAATCATTATGTATTGATTAGATCTGACATATCTGTAAATCAGCATATTTAAGACTCTTAATAAACTGTTTTGTGATTAGCTCTGAATCTGTGTCTAAGGCTATGTAATGACTGAATTAAATGAAAGGAGGCGGTGAAAACACTACCTCTTTTGTCCACAGGGGCCGCCAAAATCAACACAAAATTAAAGTTCCATATACAGTCTATCTGTGGTAGTGGCTATAATGTAGGTGTTAATGTATGACTTATTACAAGGTGTTACGTCTTAAATCACGACAAATAATATGGTGTAATGATAGAGTACAGTTTGACTTGTACTTTGTGCAGGTTTGAAGCAAGTCTTAAGGCCGTTTGGATTAAGGAGATAATGCCTTTATTCTGAAGAATTCTACCGGAAGAGATATTATTCGTGCTGCTGGCAGCCGGAACACGGACAATCTGGGTGTGGAAATGAGCGCTCACATCGCAGTGCTACGGCCATATCTAACTAAACATACAAGCAATGTCTCGTTTCAAAAGAGCGGGTAAGGTGGACTCTCTAGCGGGCTTCAAGGCGGAAAAGACCGAAGCGACTGTTCCTTACGGTCTGCTGAAGGCAGCCAGGAAAAGCGGCCAGCTCAACCTGTCCGGCCGAGGTCTGACAGAAGGTAAATTTCACTTATAGCTAATTTTAGCTTGTTCCAGTACTACTGAAAGTATCATTCTGCCAATTTAAAGGTCAACAGTGTGCTGAAAATGTGGACGTAACGCTTGGAGTGAAATACAAAAAGAGAAAGATATGAACTGTTCAAGATTTCAGATTGTAGGCCAGTGTTTAGCTAACTACATTTAGAGATGTGCCTTAATGAATATCCCTCATAATACTAAACTTAGAACTTAGACATGTATTAAGACATGTATACAAATAGTCAGCTTCGAACAATGTGTGTCTGATATGTTTTTGCATCTAATTACTACTTCTACCTCATAAAAAAATCCAGAATCTATGAATGTGCAATTTCCAAAGTTTTCCTGCTGGACACAAGATG